GAGTTATGATTTCCCCTATTGTCGGAATCCTTCCCGCTATGTTTGCTATAAATTTGCCTAAGTCTTCTCTATCGATCATGAGCACTCTAACTCTCGTAACTCTCTCTCGAGTAATTACAACAATATACTAGACATATTCTCCCGAATTACGCTAGCTAGCTTTTGAGTACAACTCACTTAGATCGCACCCAAATTTTCGTTATCCCTAATTCCACTTTTAAACCCTTCGTATTGATCCCTCATATACGTTAGGAGTGATGATGTTCAACAACTACCTCAATATACACTCTCTCCCGAGTAATGTACACTAAATAGGAACAGCTAATTGATGGCCCTTCAATCAACAACAATAAGCATATAATTGAACAAATAGAGATAATACTACGGCAAATCTATATTAAAAACATAACGAGAAAATCATCCTTCAACAGGTTCCATCAAAACCCTAGACAACAAATTAGCGATTCATAATAGTATGCATAACTACAATACTAGAATGCATAACCAATAATGAAAATAGGAAGAAGGAAGTGAAAAACTCGTAGAAGAATTCTCCGCCTTGCTCCTAGTGCGTTCTTGCCTCCTTAGGTCGAATCTCCTGTCTCCACAACGGCTCTGTGCTCTTCCTAGGTCTAAAGTGTGTCCAAAGTATGTCCAACTCTTCAAAATAGCGTTTTTACATGTATTTATACCAAATAGGGTCGGGCCTAGACGAAACACCTTTTCCTGCACGAAATAGGGCTCTGGCTCTGTAAAATTTGCACTACCGTGCCACATGGGGCGGCGCACCATGCGGAGCGGCAGTGAGAAAGTTCAGATTGCTAATTCTGACAGGCTGCATGAAATTTCCACAGGCGCACCGCACTGCGCGCCACTCCACGCACCGCGGTAGTGGGAATTTGCAAAAATTCAAAACATGAAAGTTGTAGCCCTTTCAAATATCTTTCCAACGATATATAATGGAGCCCAAACGGATTTCTGCAAAAAAGGTTATGTGCATTTTACTAGACAGTGCGTCGTATACCCGCTCGATTCTCCGTTTCGTTCTTAACTATCATCCATTGATCCCCGAACACGATCCCGGCTTGATTCCTTGGGCTTTTACTCAGACTTCAAAGCTCCAAATCACTTGAATTCATTCCATAATATCTACATAGCTCGGAATCACTCCTACAAGGCATAAAATACACAATTAGTGCAAAACACTAGCTATTAAAACTCAAACTCAATTAAAATGCAGTATATTATAGTGTAATAAGCGACTAAAATACGTAATTATAGCCTATCATCAGGAGTCATACCCTTGGTACAATTCTAAATACAGTAAGAAATCCCATGATTAGCTAATTAATCGGCCTCTTCTTAATATGTGCCGAGATTTCTACCGTGATCATCGCCGATCGCAGATATCTTGGCTTTCCGTTATTTGGCTCGGTAGGCTTCCCTCGATCTTGCTCGATCTCTATCCCACTCAGTCTCGATCTTGGCTAATCTTGATCTCGATCAGTTCTTGAGTCACGAGCTTGACAATCTAACTTTGTGTCACGGTCCGGTATGACATGGGGTCGAAACCTTGGCCTGCCACACCCTGATCTTGATTAATCATACAAAAAGGGAAGCTCAATTTTGACCGTATACTATAAGCTTGTAAAATATGGATGCAGTATGGAATCCTCTAACTCACCTACCTGTTTTTTGTCACAAATGCACTTGAAGCTGAACGATCGGGAAACTTTACGACTTGTAGTTTTGTTAGCCACCAAAGTGCTGCACCTGCGCACTCTACTACTTCTTGTACGCATATTTTATTTAACGTAATATAAGTACTGTTTCTTTTGGACCCACAAAAAAAAACTTAGAAAATATACACAGTCCGTACTGGCTAAGTTTTTCCTCCATCACTTGTGTTTGGTTTCAAAATGTACTCTAAAATATAGATTTAGAAAAGTAATTCAAGTTTTGAAATGAAATTGGTATGACAGAGAAAGGCATGAACCAAATCTATCTAAGGCCATTTCCAACCCTCCCCCATTTTTTCATAATTTTGACAACTTTTGCCATGATGGAGCTCCAACTCTCCCCTATTTTTGCCCCAAAATGGGGGATGAATAGTGTTCCTCCAAATATAGAGGGACACTATTCATCTTCCCCATTACTATTCATGCATATTTTATTATTTAACTCTTTTAATTTATCTCTTTATATATACCTAATTATGTTTATGTAATATCTTTATAATATTAATTTTACATCTTAACTTTGGCGTATAATTTTGATAAATTAATTTTTGTTCATTTATTATTTTTATGTAAAATTGTAAGTTAATTTTATTATAAGTTATACTTATACAAAAAAATATATAATCATCTCAAAAAATGAATGGTGCAAATATAAAATATTAGATGTTGCTAAAATTGAAAGGTGCGAATATAAAATATTAGATATTGCTAAAATCGAAATGTGAAAATTAAAAATACATTAAAATAGGACATACATGAAAATTGAAAAAAAATTAAATTAAAATACATAAAAATTAAAACTACGGTAACTAGCATAATAATTTAGTAGGGAGGTATGTCGTTTCCACATACACCAAAATCATTATAGTATTGAGTGAATGGGGCCGAGGATTGTTGTGGTTGTGACTGTGAATATTGTTAACTTCTTTTATACATTATTCGTTGTTGTTGTCGCATAAACAATAGAATCCACATCCATCATTAAAACTTTATTTTTTTCTTTCATTTCTTTTACTTTTAGAAGAGAGAGAAGAATATAAAAAACAACATTCTCTTTTCGGGGAAAAATGGGGAAATGGTTGGAGAAAGTTATCTCTAAAATAGAAAAATCCCCATTTTGGGAACCAAAATAGGGGTAAAGGTTGAAGATGCCCTAAAGCAGATCAAATTCAAAAATGTATTCTGAAAGGAAAAGAAAATCTACACGAAATCCAAAAGTAATTCGAGACACAACACTTATCTTCAATAAACATTTTCCAAACACATCCCAAAACCAAATCAAACAACAATAATAACAAAAATTCTAGTGTAATCGTACAAGTGGAGTTTGGGGAGGGTAATGTATACGCAAACCTTATTCCTACCTTGAAAAAGGTAGAGAGGTTTCCATTAGACTCTCGACTCAGGAAAGATAAAATGGAAGAGCAACAAACCAGCAATACCAACAAACTAATCAGAAAACCGAAGCGAAAGAAACAAGTAATAACGGAAATTCAAGAATAAGAAAATACAAGACTAACACTAAGTAATGCACTAAAACAAACTGGTACGAGCAAGGACGACGCTCGACTATCTAATCTTCTATCTTAATTCTCAACCTCCACACCTTCCTATTTAGGGTCATGTCCTCGGTAAGCTGGAGAGTCACTATGTCTTGCCTAATTACCTCTCTCCAATACTTCTTCAGTCAACCTCTACCTCTCCTTGGACCCTCCAAGACCAACCTCTTACACCTCCTTGCTGGGGCATATGTACCTCTCCTCTTCATATGCCCGAACCATCTAAGTCTCGCTTCCCGCATCTTGTTCTTCATAGGAGACACGCTCACCTTGTCTGGAATATCTTCATTCCTAATTTTATTTATCCTGTTATACCTGCACATCCATCTCAACATCCTCATTTCTGCTACCTTCATCTTCTGGACATGGGAGTTCTTGACTGACCAACACTCAGCCCCGTACAACATAGTCAGTCTAACCAGCGCTCTATAGAACATACTTTTATGTTTTGCTGGCACATTCTTATTACACAAAATACAGGAAGCAAGCCTCCATTTCATCCACCCCGCTCCAATACGATGTGTGACATCCTCGTCAATCTCCCCATTCCCTTGTATAACTAACGCAAGGTACTAGAAACTTTCTCTCCTAGAGATGACTTGTGAATCAAGTTTCACGTCTTCATCCACTTCATGAGTCGCACCACTAAACTTGCACTCCAAGTATTCTTTCTTGGTCTTGCTCAACTTGAAACCTTTAGACTCTAGAGTCTGCCTCCAAACCTCTAACCTCACGTTAACACCGCCTCGCGTATCGTCAATCAGTATAATGTCATCTGTAAATAACATGCACCACAACACCTCCCCTTGAATGTGGTGCATCAGTGCGTCAGCCGCCAGGGCAAATAAAAAAGGGTTGAGGGTCAATGCGTCAGCCCCATCACAACTAGAAAGTTTCGAGTCCCCTTCGATTGTCCTCACCCGAGTCTTAGCTCCATCATAGATGTCCTTAATTGCCCTAGTGTATGCAACAGGAACACCTCTAGTCTCCAATCATCTCCGCAGAACCTCCCTCGAAACTTTATCGTAAGCCTACTCTAAGTAGATGAACACCATATGTAAATCCCTCCTCCTCTAGTTATACTGCTCTATCAATCTCCTAACAAGGTGAATAGCTTTCGTAGTCGAACGTTCCGGTATAAATCTGAACTGGTTCTCAAAAATAGACACTCTTCCTCACTCTCAACTCCACCACCCTCTCCAGACTTCCATAGTATGTCTTAGTAGCTTGATACCCCGATAGTTGCAACTTTGGATATCATCCTTGTTCTTGAACAAATGAATTGTACTCCACCTCTATTCTTCGGGCAATTTTTTCGTCCTAAAAATGACAATAAATAGCTCAGTGAGCCACTCCAAGCCCGCCCTGTCGCACCCTTCCAAAACAGAATTTTGATTAGCCCCGTCGCTCTTCCCTTACTCATCTTATGCATAACCCCCTCTACCTCCTCAACTTTTATACGCCTACAATACCCAAAGTCTCGACGACTCTCGGAGTATTCCAAGTCACCCTATTCAATGTTCCTATCCCCATCTTCGTACAAGAGTGCATGGAAGTAAGTCTGTCATCTCTGTCGAATATGTGTCTCATCCAGCAAAACTCTATCTTCCTCGTCTTTGATGCACTTCATTTGGTCCAGGTCACGGGCCTTACTTTCTCTCGCCTTGGCTGGCCTATACAACTTTTTATCCCTGCATTTGCCCTAAAGTTCTTCATACAGTTCAAACGCTACAGTCTTCGTCGTCGTCGTAACCGCTAATTTTGCTTCCTTTTTAGCCATCTTATACCGCTCCATATTCATTCTCTTCTCCTCCTCGTCCACGCTCTCCAAAAGCTTCAAATACATCGCTTTCTCGGCTTCCTCTTTACCTTCGACCTCTCCATTCCACCACCAATCCCCCTTGTGACCAATAGAGTAGCCCTTTAAGACCGCTAATACCTCTCTAGCAACCTCCAATGCAATTCGCTTTCGTGGTTCACATACCTCTCGCGTCCCCACTACTCCTCCATGCCCTATAGCCAGCGACTTATCCCCCAACTCCTGGGGTTCATCTTTAGTCAAAGCTCCCCCACTTGATAACTTAAATTAGTTATCACCAAATCAAAAGCTTTAGCAAAATCCAATAGTGAATCCAATAGCAAAGTTCCTCTATTTCTAATTCCAAAAGCAAAGCCGCCATGCACATTATCATAACCCCCAGAATCGCCCCAATGTGGCCATTGAAATCTCCTCCTATGAAAAGTTTCTCAGTGTGCGGAACACCAAGCACAACCTCATCCAAATTCTCCCAAAATGCCTTTTGATTTCCTCGTCCAAGCCCACTTAGGAAGCGTACGCACTAATCACGTTTAAAGTAAATTCCCCGACAACTAGTTTAATAATCATCAATCTATTGTTCACCGTCCTAACCTCCACCACTAGCTCTTGTGATCCCTATCAACCAAAATACCTACCCCATTCTTGCCCCCCACGCGTCTAGAGTACCATAGTCTAAACCCATCTATATCTCGTGCCTTAACTCCCACCTATCTAGTCTCCTTGAGACAAGTTATATTGATCTTCCTCTTATGGAGAATCTTTGCTAACTCTATAGATTTTCCCGTCAAAGTCCTTATGTTCCAAGACCCAACTCTCAGCTTGGGGACTCCTTTACCACCCTTACTCCCCCTTGCCATCGACCCCACCCCCCCTCCTGAGAACATGACCTTACCTACCATCATTCACTACAACCACTATAATCTAAGTCACACTAAGCAAGCACTATCACAAAACTAATGTACTAGAAATGGTAGTTGTAGGTAGATAAGCGAGACAAAATTCACTAATCTAAAGCCCGCAAGCAAATATAGTAACCGCAATTAGATCACAATGACAAATAAAGAACACATTAGGAACAAAAGAAACAGATTGTAACAGAGCATATCGAAAACAGAATATAAAAAAACAAGAATAGAAGAGCCTGGATTTTTAAACAGAGGAATAATAGNTAAGGCAGCAAGCACTATCACAAAATTAATGTACTAGAAATGGTAGTAGCAGGTAGATAAGCGAGACAAAATTCACTAATCTAAAGACGCAAGCAAATATAGTAACCACAATTAGAACACAATGACAAATAAAGAACACATTAGGAACAGAAGAAACAGATTGTAACAGAGCATATCGAAAACAGAATACAACAAAACAAGAATAGAAGAGTCTGGTTTTTTAAACAGAGGAATAATAGTTGACGAAGACAATGGAGCTCGCTGGAAATCTAACCGGAGTTGTTTGATCACGTCGGGACTTGAGATCAAATGGGACATGTCCAGTTGAGGGGGTGACCACTAGTGATGCAAAATCTAGCCGGAAACCTAACTGTATTAATGCTCACGCGCCGGTGCATGACTGAATCTCGCCGGAACTCAGTCAGCCCTGTTCACTGTACACAGGCTCGAAAACACGCACTCATACACACGCAAAGAGAGGGAGAACGAAGGGGAGAAAGAGAGGCAGAAAGAGGAGAAAGAAAGCGTCGCCGCTGATGAGGTTGGTGGCGGTGGGAGAAGTGTAAAGAGAAGACGTAAAAAGAAGGGGAAGAAAAAGAAAAGAGAGGAAAGGAGAGAGATGGGGAAAAAGGGAAGAGATGAGAGAGAGGGGACCTACCTTGCGATGTGAGAGCAGTCGGCGACGGCTTTGTTGGTCGCTGATTGTTTAGTGACCGTTAGAAAATGGTAGTTACCCTACAAATAAATTTTGCCCCTATTTCAAGAAATTTCGTACAAATATGCACAGATATAAACCATACGTTTTTTGTCGCAGTCATATTTCATAACCAGAAGGTAGTAACACAACAACAACAAAAAAAGAAAAAAGAAACATTTCCCTTCTGTCACTACCTCTCTAACTGGCAGCTCCACCATCCCACTCATCCAACACAAGTAAATTTACTTGAGAAAAGGGCAATTTTATTTTAAATCTAGCACATGGGCTGAAAACTAAATTTGAAAAGAAGATATGAAACAAAATTTGATTTATATTTTCTACAAATATTAGGCCAAATCAAATAAATCTCCGGTATGTATGAGGGTCCATGAAAACCTTATCTTGCTTTAGGCCCCTCATGACCTGCATGTCAAAGACAGCATTCTGTAAAGTTGCATCTGATCATGAACCACCAGTTCCAGAAGCACCCTCGGTTTGTTTTTTCTCCCGTTGTTTCTCCCGCTTTTTCTTGTTTTTCAATGCATTCTTGCTCAGCTCCCTATATTCATGTGAAATAGGGAATGATGTATAGCAACTTAATAGTTTGAACATCTGAAATATTAAAAAGAAAAACAAAAAAAGAGGAATAGTGCATTGAAGCTTACCCTGAAGAACTTCCTCCAAATAACTGTCAAAATGAAACAGATGCTTACTATTAGCATACTAGTGGCGCAAACTAAAGGAGAAAAATATAACTGGAAATAACGCATGGATGAACTTTCAGATGACATGTATATACAAATTATGACGTTTTGAAAGTAGCTAATAAACCATCACGTTGTTACCACATTGCAAGTTTATCATCAGAATGTGTCCCGTAAAGGTAACTATATCCTAGTGCAGTAAACATATTTTTTCGAAAAGTTCTGCGTTGAGATTAACTTCTGAAGAAATGTTTCAGAGAATATCTATATTATTCTTTGTGAAATCCTATCTCTAAGTATTTTTTATCCATATCCTGAAAATAATTATGTTTGTTTTCCAGAACAAAGTCTATTCAGAAAAGCAGTATCTTTTCAGTTCAGGAAACCTTCCAAAGCTTTTTTATATTCAAATGCGGTAGAGATCAGTGAGTGAGAGAACATATTTGCAAAGTTCAGGATCCTCTTGCCCGGGCAAAAAGAAGAGGAATGATCAAGCAAGAAGTGCCAAATGTGTAATTTATTATCAGTTCCATCGCGTTCAGCCCCACCTAAGAGTGGTATCTTTTTTAGTTACATAGAGAAAATGAATTACAATAAAATTCACAACTTGTGTATTTGCTCCCTCCAAATGGTAGACTGTCTAACCTCACCTTTTTCTTCTCATTTTCTAAGGAAGAGAGTTCTAAAGGAAAATGAGTTGCCAATAAAGATTGGACAGTAATAACTGAAATATCAGATTTGGCTTTAAAATTTCAGGAAATGTTTTACAGAAAAGAAGGAAAGATAAAGATCCATGTAATTACTTATAGTATAATTAAGCTCAACACATCTAATGCATTATATTACACACCTAAGTTCCTTTTATTCTACAGGTTGATTGCTATCGAACTAAACCATATGAAATTTATAGAGAACAAGAGCTATTCATATTCGATAAAGGACCTTAATATTCTTTTGGGATTCAGTCACCTACATGTCTTAAGGAGTCAGAAATAGAGTTCATCACAGAAAGGTAGAGAAGGGACGCTTCATTCAAGAAAATTAAACATGCATTTTGGGCTAGCCTTTTTATTTTTTCTAATTATTTACCATCATTAAATCCAATTCACAATTGACATTGCATTAACCATTATGAGGATAATGTTAAGTCCAAAGATTGGGTATATGGAGTAACCATTCTAGCCAAATTGTGGGAAGAGAATATCTTAACAATAGCAAGAGTATGAAAATCGAACACCTTTACTTTCTTGAAACTTTGTTACAATATAATATTACTGAAGAAGTTTTTTACAAGGGAACCAACTTAATAAATATTCTAGTTGCTGTATACAAGGTCAGTTAACTTCACAAAGGTAATGGCCGTGCAGAAAACCCACTAGTGAGTAATCATCATATTAAAACATACCATATCATTTATGTAATGTAGTTTATACATTGTAATATAGAAGGAAATAACATAGCATATTCATAATGTCAGTGTTCTCCATTGGGAAATTAAAAGTATTAACTCCCCAGGCATGACATTCAAAATGCTCAACAAAGTTATTTTGCTCTAAGAATGTAGTTAAATGCCAAAAAATTCATTGAAATTATTAGATTGAATACCAATTATGGTAAGGTATAAGCACTTTATACACCAGCTTGGTGTGCTATCAATGAATACCTCCGACTTATCAGAAGAAAAAAGTTATAAGTAATCAATAAAGTATCCCTTCCATACCTCTGCTTGAACCGCAGCAGCAACCTTCGCATGAGGTGGACGATAAGCAGCAGGTTTTGCTGCAGGAGGATTGGCAGGTGTAGCCTTCGGAACGGCCTGGGTAGCTTTGGATCCTTTCCCTGGAAAGACATTTTGGTTTCAGCTCCCATTATAGCAATTACATGGGCATTACATCAAACTTTGTTACAAGATTTAAACAGGAGGAACCTGGCGCTTTAGCTTCATCTATTTCCACCGAGCCAACTGCCTTCACAAGGTCTTCAATGTCACCAAATTTTTCTACTGACTCTGGCTTCCAATCAACCTGTCAGAGGAGTGAACAAAGCAGTAAGCAGGCAGAGCAAGTTGGTTCGCAGAAAAAAAATTAGCAAGGCTATTAACCTGATACAATCTGTCAAACATCTTCTTGAAGTACAATGATCCATTGTGGTGAAAAATTTTAACCCTTCAAAAACATGAAAGAATGAGCATTAGCTATCATGTATTTAATAACAAAATTGCCAAATATATCTGCTTGCATAAACCTGGCACTCCACTTTCTCTCATTCCAAACAAAGGCAACAATTTTTTGATGGTAAGACAAAATCTGGTCTTTTAGCCAATGAACCCATTGCCTCACTCTTCCCACAAAGGCAGCATTAGGCATGCTCACTAGCTTCTCATTCTTTAGAATCACCGAAGGCTTCTCAACATATTTATAAGTTCATGCAGTTGCATTAGGGCCATAATTCAACAGGTCCATTTTTAGCAAGGAAGATATATAATAATTGCTATAACAAACCTACAGGTGGATTAACATCAGCATCTGAAAAGTTGACCACTAGATTAAAGATTTAAGACATTATAAAATCAATAGATTGAAAGAAGTCAAGTGGTCCAGACAGCTATCAAGATATTCTGATATGGTATAAAATGGGGCAAAATGCACTAACTGTGATGCATTAAATTGTTTTATCATTGCAAGCTACAAATTGAAAAATTTGTACACTAGGTTCTCAAGTTACCGTTTAGCCAAAGCACATTCTTTTAAAAACAAAATCAGCAAAACATATGCATACCCATTATCAACTTGAAGGCGTGGAGCTGTTGTGGCAGTCATAAAGTACCGACCATCAGGAGACCATTCACTTGTCACTGACAATTCAGCCCTTGTAGTTCCAAGCTGCTTCTTTTCCTTGTAGTCCCAGAATGCCTGAAGTCATGACTAATCGCTTAAAAGCTAAGCTAAATAAGCAGAAGAAACTTGTAATTCAAGATCACAGGCAAGCATCACTCTATGAATCAACTAAGATTTAGTAGGAACTTTCTCAACCTCCAGGTAGACATGGCCAAATACAGTCTGTCTAAATTGTTCAGACAACTACCATAAATGAAGGTCAAGGTGCAGGCAGGCTGCACTTGCCAGAGTGGTTTATTAGCACAAATATGAGTAGAAGCTGCTGAACCAACAACCCAAATAACAAGAATGGAGGACTAAGAGATATAGGCAATAGTTTGCCAATTTGAACAACTAAAACTACAAGCCTAAGACGATTATTTAAGTGCCATATACTAAAGGAGCTCATTTTAATGAGATAAAAGAAACCATCTGACTACACAAATTCACCATATCTTCCCTTTCTTTTATAGCAATGATGTCTAGGCCAGCTTGCGTGCACGTAAACTATTTCATCGGGTACCTATTACCTCCCACTAGCATAGGTACTGGCTAACTCTGTCTATCAAGCTTAGGTAGATGGGAAGAAATTACCTAATGCTTCTTGTCTGAGCTAGAATTTGAACCCTGATCTCTAAGGTTGCACCCACTTAAGGCCACACCCTTGGGTGCTACATAAATCACTATATCTTATTTTCTTGTGACCAAAATTATCCAATCCCTATGACATAATTGAAGGAGGCCAAAATGTCCGAGGAAATGGTTGGAAATTGATGAACAGACCAGGGGAAGGAATTGAGCTTGCTGGAAAATTAACCCGAAAAAGCTGTCAGAATGAGATCTTTGAACATCTGTTAGTCATAAAAATCACGGGATATTCTATTCATCGAGAAAATTCACCCAAAAAAAACTAGAGAACAATTGAAAATCACTGGAGATTGTCGCAGGTTATAATTGAGGCTTATGGTGCAGGATAATCCTATTGAAAGTGGGTGTACAGTAAGATCTTTGTCAGCAAAGACACAACCGTCATAAGCTAGGCAAAACCACTGGAAAAATATGAAAGATGGATGGGATGATTCGCAGGTAGTCGACCCCAGTGAGTCGGAATATTAATTAATCTTACAGGAAAAAAAGAGGAAGTAGGAACTTTTTGAGCCATGCTGAATTAGGGTTCAGGTGATCGAAATTAGTTAGGCTGGGGATGGAAATCAACTGCCATGAAAGCAAGAAATTCACTGAATTGTCTGAATAGAGTTCACGCGCTGAGCAGATGGAGTGGATCTCCTAATAAAAATCTGCAACCTAGTCAGTGCATTACCTCCACTTAAGACATGGCTTCTCAAATTTTGTTTGCTTAAATATTCTTGGTTTCATGGTATTGTTGGTTGATGCATAACACTCGCAAGAAGCAAAGAAGACTCAAATAAACAAGACGGTTTTAGGAATAATATGCAGTGAATGACATTATCTTATCTCGAATATTACTGGTAAATGCATAGTAATTCTAATAAAAGCTTAGATGTCATATGAAATATAAGAGAAACAAGGATAAAAGGCCGAGAGAATGAGCGAAGAATAATGACTTACGCATTAATCCCTTTATAGGGACATTTTACCATGTACATGGTTGTTTTACCCACCTGATACAACATTTTTTTAAGAGTAGATGATACTACATTAATAAATATATATTTTAGATGAGTATATTATATCACTCCCTCTGTCTCAATTTATGTGATACACTTTCCTTTTTAGTCTTTCCCAAAAAGAATGATACATATTTAGAAACAATTTAACTTTAAACTTCTTATCTTACCCTTAATGAGATGATTTATAGCCACACGAATATACGACTTGTTTCAGATCACAAGTTCAAGTCTTTCTTTCTTTCTTACGCTCCACAAGCAATCAAACAACATCACATAAAATGGGACGGAGAGTGTAAATATTATTGTTTGCACTTAACTATCTAACACTAACTATACTAACTATCTGATAATTCCATTGGGTTTTGTTTTGCACAGGGAGAATCAAATGGTCATATACACCAATTATGTTGATCGCTATATGTTCTAAAGAATCTTCTCGAGCATGATTTGCTAAGCAGCAAGCTTAGAATAGTTAAAAGTTTGGCATGCCTCCAATGAAGCTGATCATTTTGTGTTCTATTTAGCACTTAAATCTAGTATTCTACTTCCTTGATCTTATTTTATATGAGATTCTTTTCTTTTTGTTCTATCTCGAAAAGATTGACTCCTTTAACATCCCTATTTTACTCTTAATCACATGAATTAGGATGCTACTTGATATCAAAGCTGATTTTAAATGAGAAAAACTACATATCAAGGGATATGTCGAACTCTTTCCATCTCTCGTTTAATTGTTGGTAATAAGGGAAATGTTGGTACTTTGATTATGTTTAGCCTATGTGTCAAAAGTTTTTATTTTTATTTTATAGGTAGTAGCAATCCATGATATTTGAAACAGATATAAGAGTTGTGGACATTTCCCACTTCTGAATATAGTAATCATCTAGATATACATACCATGTCTCCTGGTAAGTTACCAAAGCCTGCCAAGCATATAACTGTAGAACAAGGATTAAGGCAAGCAAAAGCAGTAACTGCAGATGGAAATAAACTAGCCCTTTTTTCCAATGACCAACTAGAAACAATGATGACAAATTAGAAAAAGAATGTCTTTTTGAAGACAAGGATACAGTTCCCCAGCGGATTCCATCTGATAGTGTTGTATGGGCCTGTTCCAAGCTCAAGCAGAGGATTGCACTTCTTGTCGAACACCGTGGCCATAGAAGACATAACTAAGTGATTTAAGGAATAGCAGCAGCATCCAGAAAATATATGAAACAATGGATTCAAGAAAAAATATAGGAATTCTAGCTGCATATATTTTTAATAACAGAGGTGTCGAGGCTATTTTGCACCTTCAACCAATCCACCGAGAACCTACTACTTACGACAAGCATNTAATCCACCGAGAACCTACTGCTTACGACAAGCATAGGTATCAAGTAACTCTACCAGTTAATGCTTAGGCATGGGATAAATTTACCTAGTGTCATTTCTCCTATATTTGAGCCTTGGTTCCCAAGGTTGTTGCTCTAACTCCTTGATTGCTATGGCATTGCTTTGAAGGCGGATACTAGTTGCAAATTAATCTTTGAACAAATCCACTCGAGGGAGGAAATAAAAGCTTCTTTATTAGGACTACATTAGACCCTATTAATGAACAGAGCGCATGTTCAGTGAGTATATAAAAGCAATGATCTAACGCACTTCACCTTGGACCTCCTCTGTAAGTTGAAGAGCAAAAAGAATATGTGTGCCAGATGTCCTCCACCATTTAACACTTGTCTCACATTTTTTATTGTGTATTACTCCTCTTAAGCGAGAGAGAGAAGATTTTAAACGGAATAATTAAAGAAAAACAGTAACACCCAGAACCACGAATGAGAGAATAATGGAAGAACCAAGCTCTAAGCTTTAGCAACTAGTTATAAGTGTGCATATATTCAAACTTCTACGGAGTCTAGAAAAAAGTTGCATCCAACTTCAAACTTTGTAACATTTCTTCAAAATATTCTTGTCTTCAACTTGTATGGTTTTTCACAACAAGTGTGTAACATTTCCATAGACTCTTTTCAGTCTTCTTTTTTTCCCTTTTCTCTAAGGCTTTCTTTTCATTTTTTATAACAATTTCAGAAGCCTTGAGGGTGGGTTTTGGGGTGTTGGTAAAGGATACAACCATAAACAACTGCAAATTCTTTACCCGAATAGGACCATTGAACATCATGAATAGGGCCGTCTTTACCTGCAACATGCCCAAGGATCAGTAAGTCGCAAATTCACTCATTCAACACATAACTTTGGCTGAAGATTAAGAAGATGAAAACAACATACGGAGAGGAACAAGCCCTTCATGGGTCCCATCAGTAGTCAAGTAGTTCAACTTTGATTCTCCGTAGTAGCTTTGGTTTGTTTTATCAACATCTGATTGGACCACCACTAGAAGCCCTGTAGATCCAGAGTTCCAGCTCAGTTGCACAGTTGAGCAGCGGAAGAAGCTGCGTCGTGCAACAGCTTGACTTTGTAAGTCCTTTCCACATGCATATATCTGAACACTGGCTGGCATTCCCTGCATAAATTAATTTTCCAAAAGGTTAAATGGGAACCCTGAGAACTGGCAGCCTTAAGCACACGATACTTGAAGAATTTTATGTTGTGTTGTAATCTGGTTGCACGAAACTAAGGAAGTATTTTACTCTTCTATTACGCCTATTGGTTTTTGGATATTACTGTGCCGAAAAGAATTCCAAAATATTCAGGCAACTTTTCAGATTCACTTTGTTGACTACTCTCGAGTAGCTTCCCCTCAGCTTTCACTACAACAAACACATTGTACTGTGCTGTGCAGAAATACAACTCTTTAAAACCAACAAGACAGCTCGTGGATATCTGGATTACTATGCACCTCCCGTATAGAATACGTTATGAAAGCCTGCCATATATTCCCAAAGCCTCGAGTGTATTTTTTATTACATTAAGGAGCAGCTTGAACAACTACTGGAAAAAGCTTTTGAATTTATAGAGAAACTTTTAGGATGGAGTGCACTTCAATGAGACTTGACTGAATGTGCTCGGCATTAGTTTGTGTCAAGTTCTCTAACAACAAGCATACTATGGATTAGTTAAAAAGTCATGAGGCATATCAAAATGCACATTCATCGTCAAGAGTATAATGCATGGATGTTTCAAATTGATAATTTAATGAGTATCCAATAATTTTTAGACCTTGGATTCTGGAACAAATGCAGCCACGTAGGATCCAGGGACTTTAGAAAGCTCCAATGCAGCAATTGCAGGAACTCGCAGCCGATTAACAAATCCCTTAGAGAAATCCCTAGGATCAAAAAATTGGATCTCATTTGTTGCCAATCGACATGCAACAGTTTCGTCAGAACTGAAACGTACGGAAGGCCTGAAAAAATCAGAGTGCAAGTGAATAAAATACTCTGAAATTCTAAGCATCAATTTCCCACATAGACAGCCAAAACACAAGAAAATTTACCATGTAACTTTTGTCATATTTTTCTGGAAGAGTTGGTAAACATATTCACCATTTTCTATCTTCCACAAGACCACGTTCTTATCCTGAGGAGATGAACATTTCTGGAAGGTCTGAAGATAAGTTCCACAAGGAGAGATGACAGCTGCAAGAACGTTTGGGACATTAAAAGACCTAATCTCTTTCAATGTTTTGCAATCAAAGATGCTAATTATGGAGTCTGATTTTGTAACCATGAGTTTGGACCCATCTTCACTGAACTTTGCACTGGTACAAGGAACCCTATCAAGCTTGATACCAGGTTGACCACTTGGGAAAGGTGGTCCATTCCATATAGCAAAACCCTCTGGTTCTCTTACTAAAATATCCAACAAGGGGGAAGGCTCTACAACCGCCATCCTATAGTGTCAAATATAAAAGCAACGTTAGCCCATACCAGAATTAACATCAGTCAGATTCACGGATGTTGAAACAATTCAGAGTTTGTACTTGCTACATACAATGTCAGTTTACTATCCTCCAAAAGTTTTGGGAGTTCATCTAAATGGAAGAAAGTATTTTCCATAAAAAAAGTTTTTTCGTGAAAATATTTCACTATGAGACATCATTTTCTGAATAATTTTACAGTGTTTAGTTGGGCGTAAAAGTATGTGACATAGTAATGCAACGAGGCCTAATACTGAACTTTTTTGGTGGATTGTGTCTGCTCCTTAGTTATTCAGTAAGACATTCTTCTGTTGCATATTTTTGCCATGCATCTTCTATATGCCATTTAAAGAACTTCTCTTACTTAATCAAAAAAAAGATACGAAGATCATCTTGTAGTGACAGTATTAAATGTTCGAATAATGTCTTAAGTATTGACTGAAATAAGTGACACGTAGTAAAAGCTGGGATATCTGCAAAAGAAGATGACTTCCACCCAATAAGTAAAAGGTAATCAATTCCACCTTTCAGCTAAAAATATATTCCGTGGAAGAGAACATTTTTCACAACTCAGGTAAAGCTGTAGGAAACACAGATCTGCCCAACAACCAAATGCCAGGAAAAGCATGGGTTCTCAACTCAAGGTAATATTGAAACTAAACACGCAATAAACTACTCCCTCTGTCACAATTTATATGCCGCAATTTTCTTTTTAGTGTAAACCATAAATAATGACACCTTTCTATATTTAGAAAAAAAAAATTAACTTTAAACTTCCTCATTTTACCCTTAATGAGATGATCTATAGCCACACAAATATCTATGCCTTGTTTTAGACCACAAGTTTCAAAAGCTTATCTTACTTTCTTAAACTCTGTACCCAGTAAACCAATGCCACAAAAAATAGGGCGGATTGAGTACTAATTAAATGTCCAACCTTTTATTTATCTCAAGCACTCCTGAAACTAATAATGACATTGATGGAGAAAGTATCAACCACAATATCAAAACCTAAACTTTTAATAAGGGTGACTACCCTTGTTAAATATCAAATCCACCAGAGCAGACTTCTCTAGTGGATTAATTTAAGTATCTACGCAAGCATGATTCGGCTCTCTACCCTCCTAGATTAGGGGTAAGGTCCGCGTGCACACTACCCTCCACAAACTCCACTTGTGGGAACTCACTGGTTTTGTTGTTGTTGTTGTTTTTGCGCAAGCGTGATTCTTTGACCTACTAATAAAAAACTATACACAAAAGAAAATCTCTGAAACATATTACCTACAGGAAACAAATAGAAGCCAATTCTTTGCTGTGTATACTGAAGGAAAAATGATTTCACTTTCTTCACTTGATTTTAAAGGACCAATGAGCTCTAAAATAACTAGGTAATTAAGTGAAAATATCAACACAAATCAAATATTAGGGATGCTTTAAATGTGCATTGGGGCTTGCATAACAAAAACAAAAGATGAAATCAATTTACAGTGAAATTATACTTGAGATGATGCAGTAAAAGTTGGAGCGAGTGTATTTCGCAACACAGTATTCACTGTTGTCTGCTCACTTGAGCTATTTTCCGATTTTGTGTAGGCTAATAATGGGAGGCGACGAGACGGAGAACTGGAGTCTGCAGCCTAAGCGGGTTACTTTTGTCCTATAGAGCAATTTTAGTCATTTGTTTTCTCTTTCTTTGGAATTTTAATGAAATGTTGAGAGAGGAAGAACTCCTCTAAAAAGGGAATAGACGACAACAACAACAATAACCCAGTATAATCCCACTTAATGGGGGTCTGGGGAGGGTAGTGTGTACGCAGACCTTACCCCTACCCTGAGGTAGAGAGGCTGTTTCCAAATAGACCCCTGACATCCTTCCCTCCAAGAACTTCTCACCTTGCTCTTGGGGAGACTCGAACTCACAACCTCTTAGTTGGAAGTAGAGGTTGCTTACCATCAGAGCAACCCCTCTTGTCATAGGTTAGTAATTGGGGATTCCAAGTTTCTAATCGAAAAAGACATTGCATAGGTGCAGTAACTAATATAAAGGGAAAAGGAAAATTTGAATCATAGAAAGAGAAGTTTTTGGCCAATATTGTCCCTTATCTTTGATGGTAGGTCTATTTTGGTCACTCAAATATAATCTGAGTATTTTAGTCCCTTAAGTATGCTAAAGTGGAGCACATTTAGTCTCACTGACAGAGTCGAGGGGCTCAACTAGAGTATTAGATTCAGCATAGATCGGGAGTTAGGTATTGACATCCCATACCAGCATCGCTAGGAGATTGGAAGGTATATGGGTCTGGGAGAGAGAGAGGAGAGGGAGGCCAAGAGGCCTCAAGATTCTGGCACATATATTGGTGCCCGTGCCCCAGTTGCAGCCCGTCATGGTAGAAGCTATATGAGTCTTCCTGTTCATTCAGCACTTCCAGCTTCCGGTGGTATTCCAGCTAATCCCAAGCCTCAGGTTTTCTATTATGCATTACCATTATCTAGTACACCTCTTACACGAGGTGCTTTCAACAGTTAGTCCAGCCGACTATACCCGAGCCAATTCCATCAATCGCATCCTCCAAGAGCTTGTTTTGAATTTGGTGACACTCGCCATATAGTGAGGTATTGCCCCAGACTCAGGAGGGGTGCACCTCCACAGACTACTCAGGCCCCACGTATTCCACAGGGCCCTCAGGCTTCACAAGTCGTAGTTACCACACCAGTTGCCACTCGACCTGCACAACTAGCTAGAGGTGGCGGCCGAGCAGTTAGAGGTCGCCCTAGAGGGGGAGGCCAGGCCGGATGTTATGCTCTTCCTACTAGGACGGAGGCGATTGTATTCAACTCAGTTATCATAGGTATTGTTCCGGTTTGTCATAGAGATGCATCAGTCTTATTTGATCCATGCTCCACTTATTCCTATGTATCATCACTTTGCTCCATATTTGGGTATATCCCGTGATTCCTTATGTTCTCCTGTTTATGTGTCCATGCCAGTCGGAGACCATGTGCATCGGTCATGTTTAGTTATTCTTGGTGGTTTTGAGACCAGAGCCGATATATTATTGCTTAATATGGTAGATTTTGATGTTATTTTGAGTATGGACTGGTTGTCACTCTATCATGCTATTCTTGATTGTCACGCCAAGACGGTGATATTGGTTATGCCAGGTTTGTCGCGGTTGGAGTGGAGGGGTACTTTAGATTATGTTCCTAGCAGAGTTGTGTCCTTCCTTAAAGCACAGTGGATGGTTGGGAAGGGATGTGATGTATATCTAGACTATGTGGGGGATGTTAGTGTCAATACTCCTAGCGTTGAGTCAGTTCCGGTAGTGAGGGATTATCCAGATGTATTTCTAGCGGATCTTCTAGGCATGCCGCCCGACAGGGATATCGATTTTGGTATTGATTTGTTACCGGGCACTCTGCCCATTTATTTCCACCATATCGTATAACCTCATCGGAGCTGAAAGAGCAGTTGCAAGAGTTTCTTAATAAGGGCTTCATTTGGCCCAGTGTGTCACCTTGGGTTGCTCCGGTCTTGTTTGTAAAGAAGAAAGACGGTTCTATGCGTATGTGTATTGATTATCGTCTGTTGAACAAGGTTACAGTGAAGAACATGTATCCATTGCCACGCATTGATGACCTATTTGATCAGTTGCAGGGTGCGAAAGTGTTCTCAAAGGTTTATTTGCGGTCAAGCAATCATCAGTTGAAGATTCTGGAGCCGGATATTCTGAAGACTTCCTTCAAGACTCGGTATGGTCATTACGAGTTCCTTGTAATGTCATTTGAGCTGACAAACACCCCAACAACATTCATGTACTTGATGAATAGTGATTCCAGCCCTATCTTGACTCATTCATCATTGTGTATATTGATGACATCTTAGTGTACTCCCGAAGCTGGGAGGATCATGAGCTGCACCTGAGGACCATGCTCCAGACCTTGAGAGAAAAGAAGTTGTATGCAAAATTTTCAAAATGTGAATTCTAGATTGAGTCGATGGCATTTTTGGGTCATGCAGTATCGAGTGAGGGGATCAAGGTAGATCCGAAGAATATTGAAGCAGTGTAGAGTTAGCCCATGCCGTCTTTAGCTACTGAGATCTAGAGTTTTCTTGTTTGGCAGGGTATTACCGTTTATTCATAGAGGGTTTCTTATCTATTGCTACACTTAGGACCAGATTGACTCAAAAGGGTGATCCATTCAGGTGGACCGAGGAGTCTAAGGAGATCTTTCAAAAGCTCAAGACTACTTTGACTATAGCCCCAATATTGGTGTTTCCTATGGGTTCAGAGTCTTACATTTTGTACTATGATGTATCACATTTTATCCTCGGTACGGTGTTGATGCAAGATGGTACGGTGATTGCCGGCGTCTAGACAACTAAAGGTACATAAGAAGAATTATCATGTCCACGACCTTGAGTTAGCAACTATTGTTTATGCCTTGAAGATTTGGCGGCACTATTTTTACGGTGTCCTTTGTGAAGTCTATACCGACCACCGGAGTCTACAACATCTATTCAAATAGAAGGATCTTAACTTGCGGCAGCGGAGATGGTTAGATTTACTTAAGGACTATGATATCACCATTTTATATCATCCCGAAAAGGCCAATATGCTGGCTGATGACTTGAGTCGAAAGGCAGAAAGTTTGGGCAGTTTAGCATATCTACCGGTAGCGGAGAGGCCATTAGCATTAGATGTTCTGGACTTGGCCAACTAGTTTGTTAGATTGGATATTTCGGAGCCGAGTCGAGTTTTGGCATGTGTGGTTTCTTGGTCTTCTCTATATGATCGTATCAGAGAGCATCAGTATGACAACCGCCCTTTGCTTGTCCTCAAGGACATGGTTCAACATACCGATGCTACAAATGTCACTATTGGGTATGACAGAGTATTACAGATGTAGTGCAGGCTATGTGTGCCCAATATAGATGGTTTGAGTTAGTTGATTCTTCAAGAGGCCCATAGTTCGCGGTACTCCATTCATCCGGGTGTCGCTAAGATGTATCAGGACTTGAGGCAGCACTATTCTTGGAGGAGTCTGAAGAAGAATATAGTGGAGTATGTAACTCGGTGCCTAAATTGTCAGCAGGTGAAGTATGAGCATCAACATCCAGGTAGATTGCTTTAGAGGCTAGAGATTCCAAAGTGGAAATGAGAGCAGGTTACTATGGATTTTGTTGTTGGGTTCCCATGGACTCAGAGGAAGTTCTATGCAGTATGGGCGATTGTGGATAGGTTGACCAAGTCGGCTCATTTCATTCCAGTGGTGACTACTTATTCTTCATAGCAGATGGCTTAGGTCTATATTTGTGAGATTGTCAAACTGCTTGGCATGCCGGTATCCATCATCTCTAACTGGGATACACAATTTATATTGCGATTTTGGAGGGTCGTATACTGAGAGTTAGGCACGAGGGTTAAGAATCTTGAAACATTTTAGTAATTCTAAGAAAAATCTCAAACAAGGTATGCTGGCTAAACTCATTTCATAGAATCGAATTCCATGAATTTCTAATAAACTTCAATTATGATTTGATCAAGTTCCCATTTTCATCATTACAATCTGCTTCTATGGTTAGCTTGCCCAAGGGCTTATGATTTGATTCAAATTTCAATTTTCCTATCATGTTACTCTCTTTCGGGAAAATATTTGAAATATGGTTAATGTATCTAATGCTTACGACTTAAATTCATGTTTCAATTGTAAATCATTATGCTCTCTTTTGGGAAGAAAATTTAATTTATTTAAGACTCTTATTACTCATGTATTTAAGTCATGGTTTCCAAATGTTCTTTATGTTGATGACCTCTGATGATCCTTGAAAGTGAAAGAATGAGAGTATGAAATAATTGAAATGCGGCCATCATGCCAAGAACGATGTTTTATGTGTATGGCCAAGAGTGCCAATGAGGGATAGAAGTGATTGAGGGATAAATTAAGGGTAGGTTGAATGATCTAAACCCAAAACTACACGTACCAGTGTAGAAGTGATTGAGGGAAAAATTTCCGTGGTGATATATTGAGAGTATTCCCCTTAATTGGGATGAAATTATAGCTAGCAAAGGACCATGTCGTCCCACATGACATTGTGGTAAGATGGCTTAGCCGATTGGCGGTGATCAGACACCATGCCGCGCACATGGTGGTGGTGTTGTGTTTCTATATCCACCGTACACACACTAGGGTGAGACAACTTAGCCGATTGGGCGGAGATCGATCCCATGCCATAAGCATGGTGGTGTGTCGGTACCAGAGATCTCCCAACTTAAAACATTAATATTTACTAAAAGATTTACCTTTCTCTTAACTTGGCATTTTGATATTATTTGAGTTTCTTATTGATTCCTTGCTTCTCTCCTTTCATGTTGTTACTCTATTTCATGAGAAAGTGTTTAGCTTTACATACTAGTACTATTCCATATGTACTAACATCCCTTTTATCGAGGATGCTACATCTTTAATAGATGTAGGTGGTTCCCCTACAGGTGGCATCGATCATTAATAGTAGTGCACCCTCTTCTCAGCTGACTTGGTGAGCCCCACTTCCTATCAGGGCCTTGTGTCTTTTGATCATTATACATTGTATTTTGATGTATAGCCAGTGATCTTGTCACCAACACTCGACTCTTTTGTTTCATTTAGAGGCTCCGTAGATATGATAT